TCATGTATTCTGGTAGCACTCTGCTCTACACTGCGGTTTAGTCACAGCCCTGCTGTGAACTATAGCTTTTCAGTTCATAACTACACATCAGTTAAGAATGTTAACAGTTAGGAATACAGTTAAGAGATACTCTTGGTGGTCTAAGACAGCAGAATTAATCCAGTATGTACTGTAACTCTTCTGACTTGGTATTTGGTTCAGGCACGGTAGTAACAAGGCACTGATACTAATCAGACTCAACTGGGTTTTTTATGGGACATCTCATGTTAAAGAAAACATATCACACTGCTTTGAACTTCCTTGTCGACTCAGCCAGAGTTAGGCGTCAACAGATTGAAGAGATAGTTACAAGGGGAAAGTGTTCAGGTGCCTGAGTAAAGAACAGGCCTGTGACAGGCTGCCTTTGAAAGAAAATGTTTTTCTCTTGATGAGCCCAAGGTCAGTGAAGAGAATGTCTGAACACAGCTCTAATTTGACTGAGAGATTACATTTCATGATAACAAGTTCATACATACACAGCAAAATCCCTGTTAATATTTCTTCTGACTGTGTTTGTTATTGCTGATGGAGCAGATTAAAAATACATCCAAGCCTGCGGAGATTCTCCCTGGGGACGAAACTGCACAGAGGTCCTCCAGCCTTCCTGCCTTTGCCCCCAGTTCTTTCCCAGACTTTTTGTATGCCCAAGCATCCAAGCGTGAGGGAGAAAGCTCAGATGCGGGATCCGGGGCATAGGCAGCTGCTCACTCTTCCTTCAGACAGCAGAAATGAACATGGTCTAAATTTAACACCACTTCTACTCCCTGCTTTTCCAGTGAAGTCTAGTCTCCAGGGGCTGTGGAGTTGCCACCAACAAGGATAGGACAGCAGCCCTAGCTCTCCCCATTCTGGGAGCCCTAGGTTCGTCAGGCAGCTCCAGGCAGAAATTCCCTTGGTGAAATAGGTGGACAAGGGAGGCCATGACCTTCTGTATATGATGAATCCCTGCTGGGATAAGAGTGAGTAAATATCAGTGAATTATCATCTTTTCCTCTCTGCAGATATCTCTATATTGGCAGGATCAGGTCAATTATGAAGGCATAAGCAGTCTTTGGAATATAATAGCTACTTTTGAAATCTTATAAGCAAGAATGAATCTCACGATTTTTACTGGCTTTACTAGTAAATGACCGGGCTCTTCCAAGTACAGAAATGAGACAGAGTTGTCCATGGGTTGTCTCTAGCAATTCTTTGCATACTACTTTAATCATCCCTATAAGTGGCCACTACATGTTAAGCAGACAGAAAGCAGCTCTAAGCGGCTCTCCTTTCTCCAGAGCCAGAAATGAGAAGGTATCAGTCTGCTTGGTTTCTCATGACTACAAATGCACCAGCCAGCCAGACCGTATCACTCTGGGAGTCTTCCTGATGCAAGGGGAATAGTATTATCCATTTTGATAGCTGTTCACATGTCATTTAATCCTGACTCTTTTAGTAAGTCTAAGTATAGTATTAAGCATAAGAGAATGTAGGAAATATTATACAATAATCATTAGAAATGGAATACGATAGGAGTATAGGTAGTAGTTTAGCACATATGAGTACCCATTACCAAGACAGCTTTTGTCAGCTCAGCATTAGGTAAGCTAAGTGGAAGTTAAATGTCCAGGAAATATTGGAGGTGCAAGACAAATGACTTGAGGCTTTCCACGGGCAAAAGGTCATAAGAAATGGCCTCATTGCCAAGAAGCCAGCAGATTCATTTTTTTACTTAAGTTATAACATAACTGAGGTCATAGTTTAGATAAAGATAAGATGGTCTGATTGTAATTCTATTGCATTGTTCCTGATTTACTCATGGTATCATATTGTAAGATTGCTAAATATATATCTTTGTGCATATTACAGGAAATCCTAGTCTCGTAGAGGAGTTTCTTTCAACCCTTTGCTGCTAATGTCTGCAGGGTCACACAATGTAGCTGGGTCCAGCTCTTCTGAATGATGCAGTGTCAGTCTTCACACACAAATCCGCTGCTTCTCCCCTAATCTAAAAATACCTTTGGTTTCCACCTTATACACATCAATGTTGTGGTTTTTTGAAAACTGGCTCAAGGAAAGGATTCAGCTTGTATGTGAGAAAGGATGCTTGGGCACATCTCTATTTTATCCAATCCAGCTCAACCTTGCAATGATAGCCCCAGTTACAGAGGGGGCATTTTCTCCACGTGCTGTACATATCTACTGGCTCTTTTTTTCTAGTAAAAATGGCAGCAGGTCGTGATCTCTTTGCCTGGCCACTCTTAAGGAGCACAACAAGGATCATTAGTCTCTCATGGTTGCTATTGACACCTTACAATGGCTGATAAAAATAAATAGTGTCTTGTCAAATAAGCAGTAATGTACCTTGGGAAAATACCCTCTGTCTTTTTAATCTGAGTTTTGTGATCTGATGATTGTCACAACTGCTGATGTTACCACTTTTGGGAGAAGGTGGTTAAGGTGGAGCTGTCAGGAAATGGGATACCATTCTCCTAGCACCTTCAGGATTTTGGAAATATCCCTGTTTCACATGAGAAAAAAAAAAAAAAGAAAGGAAAACTTCCATTTTTTCATGTTTTGTGGTGACAGACTGGGAGTGGCACTCAAAATAGCTCCTGTGCAGGAGAATACAGTACTGACTAGGGATGAGTAAAGCTTGGGTCCAGATTTTCAAATTCAGTTGGAGAGGCCATGGTTTTGAAAGTTTGGCCCTTCCCATCGAGCACTGTCTTGTGCTGAGCATTCCAAGCACTGCATACATTAATGTGAACTGTCTCTCTCACATTTCTCTTAGAAATCCACTTAGAAACCAAGAGACCATTCTGAGGCTTGGATGTTCTGGAGACATTCAGTTTTTCAGAATTAATAATTTGTTGCAGAAAATTTTTTTTAATTACCCTAGTTATCCCTCCAAAGCAAGGCTGACTTTGAACTTCACCACTGCTTTAGGAATTGCTCTAGCTCCTGCAGGATGGAAAGGATCACATCCTTTTCTTTCTATGAAGTTAATCTTATGCATGCAAGTTTTAAATGCATAAAACATATCCATCCATCCACAGGGCTTTACAAATGTGGATAACATTTGAGCCTGCGCAATGGATTTTTTAGGTGAGACGCAGCATGCGCAGAACTGGACCCACTCTTTAATCCTAAAGTTCATCTGCCAGGGCCGAGCGATAAAACATATAAAGCATGCATTATATACACAAAAATATAATCTACATCTAAAAAATATTTTTATTTATATACATGTACTGTATATATATGTGTAAACACACAGAGTTCATACTGAGGTTGCCCTACCCTCAGATCAGCAGGTGGTTCTCTGTTTCAGCATTCCCATGGAGCAATGAAATAAGCTCTAGGGACAGAGACAGATTAGTCTTTGTATGAATGTTTTTCCTGGTCCTCATCTCCTGGAAGGCCCATCCTGTGCCTCCATCTGCCCTGTGTACTTGAGATTTTCCATGTGGACTCATTCCCCAAGTTCTTCCAGAATGGTGCTTCCAGAGATGTGTAAATGAGTGATCTGAGAGAAGATCTCTCTTTTTTTTGATCTCTCTTTTCCCCTGGCCAATTTCAATGAAAGAGCAGTTTTTGGAGGGTGGAGCATCTGACCTGTCTAATTTTATCTGTAAGGATGCAGATCTATCATTTCAAAGTGACTCTGATAACAGGACTGCCTACAGATAGGGCTGCAATGATTATTCAAAGCATTAATCAGGGAAAAAAAAATTATGCCAGTTACTGATTAACTAATTACTGCAATCAAATATTCACTGCTCTCTTTGGAACGATGGGCACGGTACTGGGAAAAGGAGACAACAACAACAAAAACCCTAATCACAAAAAAAAAAATTCTTTACTCTTTTGTGAGCTGGGTGAGAATTCCAGTTGCAGGAGGCAGGAGAGGTCCTACAGGACCCCAAGGGCATCCAGCTGATGCCCCACTCTCCCCGTTTCCATTCCAGTGCATCTTTGCCTGCTCCAGCTTGTGATTTAATGAAACACCAGCAAGGAACAGCCAGTGTTTCATTAAGGGAGAAGCATTTGAAAGTGATCTCTGCTAATGGCTATGAATTAGAGATTCAGAAAAGCCACTCATCTCCCTGCTTCTGCCCCCTGGAAACCACAGCAGAGGGTGCGTCCCTGTAGGAAACCCCTGCACTTGCAGAGAGGAAACTTTCCAAGAAACTTCTTTTGTCCAGATTCCCCACTGTGCCCAGTGGAGGGTAATGTGGAGTCAAGTGGGAGTACAGGAAAAAGGACAAGTGGAGTCTGTGTCACACTCTGTCACACTCATTGCACACACTCCAGCTTGCTTCAGAGAAGGTTTGAAAAGTACACATGGGGATAAAATGTGAAAGAGGGGCAGGGAGATAAAATAACAGCAAACTGCATTGGAGTCCAAAGGCAAATCTTGACCGAGTACCTCTCTGGCTGTGGAATAGTCTCCCAAGGAAAGGGGTAGAAGATCCTTTGCAGTTCCCATAAAACAGGCAGCACACAGTCTCAGACTATTTGCACCACTTGTTTAGTAAGCTTAGTCTGTTTCAGGATCAAGTGGGCTGTAGTATTGCTTCTTCTTCAGAAGCGATACTCACATCAGTCCTCCAGCAACAGCACTTTCTATTAAATGGGGGTTAACAGAGAAGTATTTTGTCTATTCAGAAGCTTTCATACCTTGCTGAATACCAGTCCAACTGCTGCTGTGCAGGCTGTGTATTCATTCCGTATACATCACTGCAATAGTTTTCAGTCTGAGCTCTGTAGATTCCTGGAAGTCCACAGACTGCTCCCACAGGACTTTCAGATGATATCAGAGAAAAATGAATATGATCAGTTGTCTTACATTTGTTCTAAAGAAAATAAATAACACTTACTTTGGAATTTTTTTAAGGAACTCATAAATGGAAAAGAATGGTTTAATTCATTGATGTGGATGTTTCATCTCACGTTCAAGGCTTTTTTTCAAATTGTAGATGTTACACATACTGACTGGAGACATTAGGGGAAGAAGATGGTTCAGAAAAGATTTTCCAGTGAAAGGACATGGTACCACCTGAGAATTAGGTTTGTTTTCTTTGATAACTACATTTTCATTGTTTTTCAATGTTATGTCTCCTACACCAGTAACACAGACCTGGAAGGGTGACCTGAAGCTCCAGGTCTCCAAACTTCATCTCCACACTGCACTTTCACACATGCCAGTGGTGGGGGGAAGGTATCCCACAATTTGCTGCTTCAGGCACAATTTGGAGACTCAGCCTATTCACCTGTATCACTGTCAGTGAATTGGTAGAAAGTGGAATTGCTCGGATGTCACTGACAATGGAACATGGTCTACAAAACTTTGCTATGGGTCTTATTGTACAAGCAAGGGGGGGAAAAGTCTAAACTTGGCAGTGAGGCACTAGAACAAGAAGCTGAAATACAAATCAGCTGCAAAGTCAGTATGAGATTTGCAGGCATTTGACACTGCAATAAGTGACAACCTACGAGTGGTCAGTGCATGTCAGTCCAGGAAGATAAAGCAAAATCTCAGAGTCAGATAACATGCCTTGGATTTTTTTTTTTTCCATTAGTGGAGATGCAGAGGTCTTGACATTCTCTTCAGAGGTATTTGGATTTTAGAATGGCTGAAGTTTGTCTGTTATCCAGAAGTTTAAAAAAAAAAAATAGAAAAGAAGTAGAAAAGCCTTAGATGTTAATTGCTATTTATTCAAAATGTAATAACTGCAGAGCCTGAAATTCATACCAGATTTAGAAATGAGATCATGATTCGTAATAATTGCTATTTCTTACTGCTAGTTCCTTAATGTTTTTATTTTAAAAATCATCAAGAATTCCTTTCTAGTGTCACTGATACCCACTCAGCCACCTACTCATTTACATCCCACAAGCATACACACACAATTTGCCCTTAAATGTTACTGAACATTTAAAATCTCTTCCCTCTCTATAATTTTCAAAGACTAATTATTTCAAATGTTTTCATTTTTTAGTATAAAAGGAAATTTTGTCTGACACTCACCAGTAAGTTTTTCCAACATGTATGCAATGCATAGCACAGAACTGCAGAGGATACATCCATGATGTGCATTTATTAGTGGCAGATCTGGAAAGCTGAGATGACTATCAGAATGAGGAAGTGATTAGTCCCTCTGTTTGGCACTCATGAGGACATATCTGGTGTCCAGTGTCCAGTCTGGGATTGCTCTGTAAAAGAAAGATCTTGGCAAACTAGAGGGAGTCCAGTACAGGGCTACCAGGATGGTTGGGAGCTGCAGCACAGACTACAGAGAGAGAGGCTGAAGGAACTCAATTTGTTTAGTCTTAAGTAGGGAAAGCAAAGAAGAGATCTAAATCCTGTTTTCTACTGCCTAGAAGGGTTGATAGTGAAGATGCTCTTCCCAGAGGTGAAAAGGTACAAGGCAGTTATCACACATTGCAGCATGGAAAATTCCAGATGAACATAAGGAAGAAATTTTTCACCATGAAGGTGATCATGATAGAGGTGCCCAGAGAGGTTGTGCGATCTCCATCCTTAAAAATGTTCAAAACTCATCTGCACAAGACCCTGAGTAATCCAACTCAGCTTTGAAGTCGGCCAGCAGGAGTTAGAAGGTCACTTCCAACCTGGATAATTCAGCAGTTCAATTTGCTCCTTTCTCCTCCCAAGGTTGCCACTATGCAGTACTGTACTCATGGTCACATGGAACTACTGGGGAAAAATGTCTTTCCGAAATGCCATCCTCTTTTCCTCGTGGGAGGCAGGACCTGAAACTGAGTTGTGTAAAACCACCTTAAGAACACCTTACAAAGCCAGTGCTTTCTCCATTTGCATGTTTTATTTTGTAGAAAATTAAAAAGAGTTATGTAATCCAAAGAATTTGTGAAGGGAATGTGATTCCTTGTCCAAGTTTCTGGAAGTTAACACCATCCCCACCAAACATATCAGGTCCCAGAATGAGATTTTATCTGGATCCATCCTTTGCCATTGGGGTTTGTTTTCACTCAAATACACTCATGTACTCTCAGAAACAGGGATGCAGCTTGTTGGTAACATCTCACCCTCTCCCTCCAGTTGCTTGCAGCTACCTCTAGACTACTAAGAAGAAAACTAGACCAAGTTCGCACTTAGGGAAGAAGGCTGCAGACACTCTGCAGGTGGCCTGTTCCCTACTATACATATATGTCTCCATTTGTGCACAGATATTACCTGCCCAGTATGAGCATGGCTTGATAATTCTGGCTTATAATCGCAACTGTTAATCAGACAAGTGGAAAAAGGTTTGAAAACCAGACTGCTGAAATCCTTCTCTTTCTGCACACACAGAGACAAAGTACTCCCACTCCAAAATACCCAGTATGTACCCCAGGTGCTGGCTTCTGCATCCTCCAACAGGCACACACAGCCCTTCTGCCTGTCCTTCTCTCCCTCTGGATAGTCCAATCCACCAGCAATCTGTCTGTACCTTCTCACTGTCCTAGACTCCCCTTGACCCAGACTGGGCACCAGTATTTTTCATACTAGCATTGTCTGTGCTGGGAATTTCTGAGTGGAGCCTGACACCTGAAAATGCCTGGTAAGAGGAAGGCAGAGAAATTGTCTGTGGACTGCAGAGGTTTTTTGCAGGAAATCTACGGTCAGTGCACCCTCTCTCCACATGAAGAATACTTGCTGAGCCCCCAGACAGAAGGGAACATGGAACTATGTTGCAAAAAGTGTGAACTGGTTTTATTCAATTTTAAACAGAGCATTACTGTATTCTAAATCCATAATCTCGGGATGATACTGCCTGTGGAGTCAAGGGGAATAAGAATAGAAAATATAGCCACAGCTAGAGTTTAAGCAGAATATATCCTTCCAACAGAGCTCCACAGGGTTACAGGAATGGCTGCCACTGGAAGGACTCCCTCATGTCTTGGATCTAGCTGCACACTCGCCACTCCACTGGGAGAAGAGGGAGGATTTTTGCCTGTCGGAGCCACACTTTCCATCTGCCCTTTATGCACTGCTGTCTTCTGAAAGACACTGTAGAAGCATTAGGGATTATTAGAGAGGATGAAGCTGCTTGATCAAGTATTAAATATTTATTCCCTTGTATTCTTCATTTGGATTATTTGAAAATCTTTTTCTTAACTGTCTTATTCTGCTCCCAAAAGTAGGGCTGTGCTGCTGGCTGCAGGTCCCACTCTTCATGTCTTCATTGTTATTCTTCCTTATCTGTGCTGTAGAGCAAGGCCCTGGTCAGAACAGGGGCAGATTGCACAGGGGACCCTGTAGATACAAATAAGAAGACACGGTCCTTTTGCTGCTGCAAATTCAGACTGTAAAAATAAACAGATGGAGCATGGCAAAAGGGGTCACAGTGTACAATCAAAGCAATCAGGGCTGTTGCTGGCAGCCACAGGGGCAGCATAATTATAGGCTCTTTTTTCTTTTTTCTTTTTTTTTTTTTTCCCTAAAGATACATTTCACTTGCCCACTGTTTGGAGGGTTTGTCTGTATTGCTCACAGATGGAGAAGGATGTGTAGGGACCCTTGGAAGGATAACAGCAGAGTGGAAAGAGCAAGGAGCAATGGTCAGGATCAGGTAACCAGCAACCTAGACAGAACCAAGAAGGAGAAATAAGGTCATGTTCAAACTGCTGAGACGAGTAAGGCAGCTCAGGGGGTGGTGTTGCCAGGCCCACAAAAGGGTGAGAAAGGCTGTCAGGTCTAGTGCTTCTCTTTCTGACGGACTTCAAGGTCCTGGAATCTCCATTTCATGTTCCAAAGCTCCTTTTGGCCAGAAAAAAAGCACCAATGTGCAAGCATTCTGTAGGATAGCTACCTACATACAGTTTCCTCCTTGACTCCTGACCCAGGACTACCATGCAGGGTGAGAAAAGACTCCCAGACTGCCTTCAGTTGTGTTTGAATGTGCAGGAGCACCACAGTCTTCAAGCATAGTGCTGTGCATGGGACCAACATGGACCCAGGGGGATGAAACAGAAGAGCGTAAAGAAGGAAAAAACTAGAGATAATTCATATGAAAGGGAACATCTGAAGGAAGGAGGTGAAAGGATATGGGGACATATGACACTGAGGTGAATGGGAAGACCCTGAACCCTCACCCCAGCTGGGAAAGGCTGGCAAGGGCTGTTAACCTGGAACTGGAGAGGATAGTGAGTGGGAAGTATGGAAAGAGCTGGAGAGGCAGAAGCTTACTGTGGTAATAAAGAGGAAAATGACAGATGAAAAATAAAGCCCTAGGGAGGGATGAAACAAGTTCTTTAACTAATCAGCTTGTCCAGATGAGCAGGAGGGTTAATCCAGCTCTGACAGAGTGAAAAGACTAAACACACAGGGCAGAGCCAGCTCGGCTGGAGAAGCACTGTCTAATTCCCTTCCAGGGGTGAAGCTGGTGGGGAAGACAGAGTCAGGGCAGGTCCTCAAAGACACAGAAGCTGGGGGGGAGATTCTACTGCTCTTTGAGGAGCATGTAGTTGCACAGGCCCTATGTGGTTATGTCCTCCCTGTCTGAGCAGCAGGCAATGCAGAACTTTCCTTCACAGCTGGGAGAAGACATTCATCTTCAGGGCTCACTTGTAGCTACCTTTCTAGGTTTGTTCCTGGGCAAAACAGAAGTAACACCTCGTAAAATCCACCTCAGGTATTACAGGGTAAATGCTGCATTTGCCATGCAGTGGGCAGTGCAGCTGATAGAAATCTTGATTCTCTGTGGTAGCTGGAGGTAATCCCAAGGAGCTGCCCATAGGCTAGGCTATTGCCCCAGCTACTCCTACAGACACGGTGTGTGCTCAGGTAACTCCAGAACATCTCAGTTTGGGGTTGCTTCTTTTTTCAAGCTATATTTGTGCCCCTAGGACATGTAACCTGGCAGATGGGGGAAGGAGGGAGAGGTTGGAATAGTTCACAGGGGATTCAATAATTATTGTTCTCACAAATGATAATGGGTTTGGTTTGGTTATTCTCTTTTACAAAGTTCCCCTTCATTTCCCCAGAATGCCTTCAATCTTCAAGGACAAAGTCTCAAGTTGTGCCAGGGGAGGTTCAGATTGGATGTCAGGAGGAATTTCTGCATGGAAAGGGTTGTTAAACATTGGAGTGGGATGCACAGGGAGGTGGTGGAGTCACCATCCCTGGAGGTGTTCAAGAAATGACTGGACATGGCACTTAGTGCCGTGGTCTAATTGGCAAGGTGGTGTTCAGTCATAGGTTGGACTCGATGATCCCAGAGGTCTTTTCCAACCTAAATGATTCTGTGATTCTGTGATTCTGTGAAGCTAAGGGAGTACCATATCACCGTGATACTACTTCAGATTGACAGAGCCATACAGGGAACTGGCTGCTTCTGCCAAGCAGGACAAAAACTGAAGATGAAGGCACAGGAAGGAGCAATCTCCCAAGCCAGAAAAGGAGAAGGGAAAGGGTGCTGCCTTTGGAGGGCCAATTGCCAAAAAAGAAATACAATGATCAGTCTGCTCTTTCTCTGGCTCTGCAACAACTAAAGAGAAGAAATCTTCCAGCAGAGAATAGGTGAAGGAATAGTTCTAATTTTGTTGTGCTTTTGTTATTTTTTTCTGACACCTATTGTCAGCTGTGCCGAAAAGGCAAAATTTAAAATCCTGATTTGGAATACGGAGCTGCATCCAGGTCCATAACTATACCTAATGCTGAAAGGTAAGATGTAGGAGACATAATTGCTTGTATTATGGTATTTTTTGTGCTTACTGCAGGAGATGTGTCAGAGAACTAGAAAGCTGAATTCTGCTTTCACCCACCCTGGAATATCCATCAATCCCCAGCAAGACTACCAGCCCATTTGCACCACTGTGAGCAGAAGCAGCTCTTTGGTACACAGCATTTTGTCTGGAGTGCAGTGGGCAGCATGACACAGGGATGGAAAGGAAATGTGGTCTGCAACAGCTAGTAACGAAAGGCTGCACCCCCCTGTGTGCACAGGGGACAAGGCCCCGTGGGTGACTTTTAACACACAAGTCACACACCAGTAGATAATGCACAATTTTCTAATAATGGAGCCAGAAGCCGTGCACTGGAAATGTTCCTGGGCACAATGGCATGCTTCTGTAGTTGCAGCCCAGGAGGCATGAAGCAGTGAATTAGGATGAGAATCTCAGCAAGAAAGTCTCGCTCTGGGAGGCAAGCTGCAAGAAAGATGTCTCCTCTTATTGCTGTTATTACAAATTCTGAAGGAAAATCAGACCTTCTTCATCCTGTTGTCCTGCCAGAGAGGATGTGTACCTGACTGCTGAGTTCTCCACACTCAGCTGGCACAGGTCTCATGGATCAGGTCATCCTTCACACTATCCCTGGCACTGAGCATATGAAGGATATGGGAAAAGTGGGGAATCAGTGTGTTTTCACCACCCCCTGCAGGTGGATAATCCCTTAGGTACTACTTAAACTTGCCATTTGGTGATCCCCAGGATCACAACCAGTGAAAGACTGGTCAGAGAATGACTATTGTTTAGCCACTTCCTTCACTGTGTTGTCAGAGCTCATCTGTAAACCTGGGTCAACACATTATCTGTCCTTCCTCCAAAATTTCTGCAGAAATAATATAAGCGATGCCATCCTTCCTTTACAAGAGGAAAAACAAAGGGCACAGACTGTATTTTTGCTTGACATCGGTTGGTAAGTTGGTGACAGGTCTAGAAAACAAATTTTGCAGTCTGGATACAACTTCACCATCCTCATGACATGGTCCTTGCACTTTAATTAGAGGTGGCAGACAGCAGGTAGGAGGAATGACAGCCACAGGGATTTAAAAGAAAAAGCTCCCTGTCTTTGTGTTCAGTCTTCCAAGATTTTTGTGACAGCGAAGAACAATACTGA